ACATACGGGGAAGCGGTACATCCCTCCGTGTCCAATCCAGCTGCAGGATGAACCCGCCCAGTTTTTGTCTGGACAGCGACAGACAACTTGCTTTCGCCTCAATCCAACTTGGATGGAATGACAGCTGTCTGGGCACCGTAACTCTCCCTCGGTCACAATAAATAGATGATTGAAAACCACGAGTAGGAAGTAGAACAACATCTTTTTTCGCAACATCGTGGTTACAGATTTCTCCTTCGCTCCAACACAGATTCAGACCTTATGTTATATTTACCGGATATTATGTCTACACCTTTTATTAGGACTACATTAATATACATTTCATGTTTGGCTATAGATTTTGAAAGGTCAATTAAAAACATCAAAAATTGTACGTCTGTAACCTGATCTTTGGATGCTACTTTTTTGGCAATGCCTCGGGGGCAAGCCTATTGTAAGGAATGTATCCACAGGTATGTTAGTCGTCAGGGATATGTGTCATTAATACTTTATTATCATTTTGAGAAAGTGATACATCAATCACGGACATAGCATGAATTGTGTATAATCAATTATACATTGAATTATTTATTGACCATGTCAGAATGAGGGATGGCACTATTTCTGTAGTGGTCAGTTTTGTACGTTCAGTTTGTTTTGAAGAAAGGGTCTGGCAACTGCCAATGGGTGGTAGGAAGTGTCAGTACAGTAGGGAGTTGGCAAAGTTCAGTGTTAGGTTGGCTGAAGCTGTGGTCCTGGGTCTTCATCGTGGGTCATGGAGTATGGCTGAAGCTGTGGCCCTGGGTCTTCATCGTGGGTCACGGAGTATGGCTGAAGCTGTGGCCCTGGGTCTTCATCGTGGGTCACTGCAGTATGGCTGAAGCTGTGGCCCTGGGTCTTCATCGTGGGTCACTGAGTATGGCTGAAGCTGTGGCCCTGGGTCTTCATCGTGGGTCACGGAGTATGGCTGACGCTGTGGCCCTGGGTCTTCATCGTGGGTCACGGAGTATGGCTGAAGCTGTGGCCCTGGGTCTTTATCGTGGGTCACGGAGTATGGTTGAAGCTGTGGTCCTGGGTCTTCATCGTTGGTCACAGAGTATGGCTGAAGCTGAGGCCCTGGGTCTTCATCGTGGGTCACTGAGTACGGCTGAAGCTGTGGCCCTGGGTCTTCATCGTGGGTCACAGAGTATGGCTGACGCTGTGGCCCTGGGTCTTCATCGTGGGTCACTGCATATAGTGGAAGCTGTGGCCCTGGGTCTTCATCGTGGGTCACAGAGTATGGCTGAAGCTGTGGCCCTGGGTCTTCATCGTGGGTCACGGAGTATGGCTGAAGCTGTGGCCCTGGGTCTTCATCGTGGGTCACGGAGTATGGCTGAAGCTGAAGCCCTGGGTCTTCATCGTGGGTCACTGCATATGGCTGAAGCTGTGGCCCTGGGTCTTCATTGATGAATGTCGTTGCGTATGGCGCAAGCTTGCCGTTTTTCCCTTTCCCCGACACATCCATGTATGACACAGCATATGGTGGGATGTCATCGTTATCTTCTATTGGCCGGATATTAGCAAAGGAAGTAGTTGCGTATGGCGCAAGCTTCCCATTTCTCCCCTTCCCTGACACATCAACGTATGACACAGCGTACGGATCAATGTCATTGTTGCCCTCTGATGTCTGGTCCTGAGCAGGGATTGGTCGTCTATCTGTGACTGAGTCTCCACCCGATGCTCGCAATTCGGCCACGGTTCCGTCTGTTTCAGCAGGGGCGTTACGAGGAGCCAGACCTGGCCCATAACAACGGTCGTACAAGTAGACAACAACCGCTGGTGCAAACACAAGAAAGAAGGACACAACAACAGCAGTGATGATAGCATTGATGTCATGGCGGCTGTTGGCTTCCTCTCGGATGATTGTGCTATGAAGAGGAACAACGTGAGTCCCTGTGGTGTGCTCCGAGCCTGGCCTGGTATTTGTGTACGGCATCTCTGTGGGAATGGTGTGGTTGTACCGACTGGTGTGGTGGGTTTGCGGTCCTGTTGTGGTGGACGTTTCATCACATCTCCCCAGCCTGATTCCCTGTGGTGACCTGTCCGTGTTGGTCTGACTACCAATGTCCTTCCTCAGGGTGGTAAGCGACATTCCACTCAAGTTGGCAGGTGATGCACACTTCAGTAAGTCTGGAAAAGAAATAAAGTCCAGGTCTGGTAGATTACAGATAAACCAGGTGAGATTCTCGTCACATTTCAGCTGGTTTTTTGCTAGAATAACACGTCGTAAGACCTCATGGTTGTGTCTCAGACGTCGGACTTGGCTGTCGATCGTGGTGATGTGGTTGATTTTAAGGTTTGCAGTCTCCAGTGCTGTAAGCGGCAGGAGTGCGTCGACGGGCACAGAACGCAGGCGGTTCTTGTCAATTGCCAACCTGGTCAGGAGAGGTAGGCCACGGAATGCATTCTGGGATACGGCGGAAATGGCGTTCATTCCAAGGTCCAACTTGCTTAACTTTTCAAGCCCAAGGAAAGTATCAGGTTCTGAGGATAAACAAATCAGTCATTTTATACTGTAACATTATATGTAGGTTTTCATTTGTATGAAATAGGATTATGTTGTTGTGGATTCCGATGACTTACATGTAGGCCACACCAATTTGATTTCTAAGACTTGGCTAACGGATTTTTCTAGAAAAAAAATGGAGCGGGCGGGCAAAAAAAAAATAAAAACAGGCCTAGGCATCATGGCCCAAAATGGTACGATAGGAGCCATGAAGTCAACACACCAGGCTGGTTCAAAATTTAAACAATGAATTTCGAACTTTTAATGATACCACTGCATTGAAAGATGGAATAACTGTAACAACTAGGAAGAAAAGGACTGTCTTAAACTGTTCAGGGCAAAATATGAGCATTTTGCAGTTGATTCTGAATTTTTTTATTTTTTTGCAGATCAGAAAAAAATGAAGCGGGCGAATCCGTTAACCAAGAAATTAAATTGGTGTGACCTTAAGTTGAAGAACAAATCATTTTCATGGCTTGAAATCAAAATCAGTAAAACAATAGAGTACCACATGTTAATGAACACAATCATGTACCCCGGTACTGAATTTGACATTGTTTTTCTTTGATATCTTGGAGCAGCAGAAGTTGTACTTTTGTGGAGAAAATAACCCCAATACTAAAGAAAAGAAACAAAAAAACAATTTCAAATCATGGAAAAAAAGGTCCTTGTGCACATTTCCACCCTTCTTGCACACTGAATTGTAGGTCACTATATCAGGAGCCCCAAAAGTACACATTTGTCAACGTACCAAGACTGGAGATTCGGTTGTCATTAAGACGAAGCTGGTGGACCAAAGGGAGACCTCGGAAAGCCCCTGGATGGACCGTGGAAACGTTGGACTGTTGGATTTGAAGGACCCCTATTTCTGGGCTGTTGGGGAAAGACCGATCAAAAACGGTAGGAGAACGGAGATGTTTGATGAAGATCGATAGCGTGGCTTGTCGAAGTCGGTTGGTATGGCTTCGAGACATGCGGGGAAGCGGTACATCCCTCCGTGTCCAATCCAGCTGCAGGAGTACCCCGCCCAGTTTTTGTCTGGACAGTGACAGACAACTCGCTTTCTTCTCGCTCTAACCTGGACGGACTGACAGCTCTCAGGGCACCGTAACTCTGCTGCGGTCACTAGGAGTAGATGATTGGAAACCACGAGTAGGAAGTAGAGCAGTGCCTTGTTTTGAACCATGATCGTGTTTACAGTTTTCTCCTTCGCCGCGATATGTGTGTACGAAATGTACTGGGCCTTATGCTACCGGATATTATGTCTACATGTACGTACAGGATACATTATGTTGCTACGGCTGCTTGAATATTTATTTCATGACTTGGAATTGGAGTTGCAGTCCCTTTTATTTCATCATCTAATTGTCTGTGTGTAGACGTACATGCATGTCTGCTTTAAACTTGGATGCTACTTTTCTTGGCAATGCCTCAGAGGCAAGCCTAAATGATGTAGTATTGTGTGCGGTCTGCAAGAATTCTAGGAATTTTACAGGAATGATTCCAGGAATTTCAATCCACAGGGAAGTTAGTCTGCTGCAGAGTCATGTAAATATGTCCTAATAGTATATTCATTGAATAGGAATTCCATTTAGACCTATAATTTGACCTTCCTGTGAGTCTGTGGTTATGACATTTCCCTCCACTCCCTACAAGATTGTGACAATTGTGACTACTGTATTTATTTAGCTATGGACACACAAGCAAGACAGTACTAGACAATTACACTTAATACTATGACTATGCTTGACATGATATTACGTCACATAAATTTGAAATGGCAGAAAAATTTTCAGGCTGTCTAGAACACTGGTCATGACACTTGAGAACGATACATAATCAGGGGTCGAAATAACCCTCTGTGTGCAACTTGGTGCAAGTAAATTTGGTGTCGTGCAACTAATTTTTTGCCTGCTTGCACCATGGTGCAAGTTTGCTTTATCCACTGTTACTACCTGTAGAATTACCCAATAATATTAATTAATAAAGAACTGGAGTGGAAAGGAACAAAACCAGAATCCATGAAGTTTTTCTTCATTTTTTGTAAGTAACAGAAGGTTACTATCTACGTCGCTGCCAGCGGATGTTTCCCATCACTTCTGTGGGGGCCTGCAAGCCCTTTTCCGTAGAGCGTAATCAGCCATTTTAATTCTACGTAGAGCGTAGACGGACTGCCAATTCAACGAAGAGCGTAATTGGCGCATTTTGGGTAGAGCGTAATTCGCCGTTTTAATTCTACATAATGCATTGTAGCCACTTGAAATTCATCGTGAAGCGTAATCGAGAAGTTTCCGAATTCAGCGTAGAGCGTTGTTGGGACCCCCCCTTGCAGGCCCCCTTCTGTATTTTTGGAGGGTGCAACTATTTTTCTTCCGGTGCAAGTATTTTTCTTTTCATTTGCACCAGTGCAAGTTGGCCCCAAAATCTATTTCGACCCCTGATAATACTGAGTTTGTTTCTCTTCCCCCACCTCCAGTGGTTGTGACGTGAACAGTCCCCGCAGACCTGGCCCGGGGGGGACGGGGGAGGAAGAGGCCCGAGACAGACAGGCCCCCCTGCACCTGGCCTGCTCCTGGGGGCAGGAGATGGTCACACAGTGCCTCGTCGAACACAACGCTGACATCAACGCCAAGGTAAGGATGTTTAGAGTTAAAACTTCTGGTCCAACACAAAAAAAATCTCTCACCTAGAGCTTTCGACCAGTCACTCTGGTCTTTGAACCACGACGGGGGCCGATATCGTCTACCTTTGATCCAGTGTTGACGTCACGCTTCAAAGAAGCCATGTGACAAGCTTCACTGGGTCAGTCTACTGAGGAAGACCAGAGTGACTGGTCGAAAGCTCTAGGTGAGAGAACTTTTTTGTGTTGGACCAAAAGTTTTAACTCTAAACATGTAACTACCAACACAGATGAACTTTCATGATAGCCAAGGTAAGGAAGTATTGTTTTGGGTGGCTGAGTTTTGGGTGAGGTGATTTTGACAGTTGATTGATAAGGTTTCCAAGCTTGAAGGTGATCCAGCACATAAAGAAGTGGGTGGTATGTGGGTGGTATGTGGAAGGAAAGTACCCAGTAATACCCTACTACAATGTGCAATCCCCTCCACAGTTTCAATACATTCAGACACGAAAACTCAAAACACTGTGAATTGTGAACCAGTACATGTAATTAAAATTACTGGTAAACCATGACTACCATTGCACTGAAAATCAACACACTAAATCAACTGTTAAAAATGATAAAGGACAGACTATTTTTAAATTGTTGATTACTTTTAATGATGTTCACTATCAGACTTTTGGCATACTGTCTACTTCTTGTAACTTTATTCCCATTAATTGCCTCTTTACTCTTATTTATCATTTTCATGCAAATTTTGAAAGTTATCTTATGTATGACATATACTTGTACATGTATATTATGTGTTTATATGTATGTTTCATGCATTATGCATCAAGTAATTATAAACTAGAATAACTGAATTAAAAGATCCAAAAAAGAAAAGTTTTTCGAACAAGTCATTCTAGTCTGACTTGACTGTAAATGATAGTTAGCAATACACACAAGCCATCAGGAATTAATTACTTGTTGAGGTGGCAGAATTCAGGAAGCTAAGGATGGCATACTTAATATCCAGAATCTGAAAATCCATGTGACAATTTCTTTTTTTTGTCTTATTCTTCATTTTTGTTTGCATTCAGTCTATTCTTCTTTGTCTTCTTCGAGATATTGTTGGTCAGCCTCTTCCTGAAGGTCCTCCTCCTCCTCTTTATCTGCAGTTCCTTCTTTCTTTGCAAGTTTCTGTTTGTCCTTTTCTTCACCGTCAGTTAGTGATGGTTTGACGTAGGACTCCCAGAAGTGGACTAGTGCCACCCGAAGTGCTGCTATAGCCTCCTCCTGCTTCTCAGCTCTCTTTGCCTGCTGTTGGACCTTTTTATCTACCTCCAGTATCAGGTCCCCCTGTTTGGCAATGGTCCCATCCTGCTCGGTGTTCTTCTCCTGTTCTACGTTGCTCACCTTGGTGTAGTAGTCCAGCATGGTGTTACTGAGGTCAACCTGCATCTGCTCCAAGGAGGAGACCCTTTCCGAACAGGTTTCCAGCTGAAAGTCGTGGTCGTCGGCAGCCATCTCCAGCTGGGCCATCCTCTCTTCCTGGGCTTCCAACCGTGATTGGAGCCCACCGATGGTAGCCTGCTGCCATTGTAGGACAGCGTGTAGCTTCTCAAATACGACATGGGGTCTACAAATTTTCCTGTGGCGTCCTCTTTCCCTGGCAGTGGTAGCTTTGAATCTGGCATTTCATTCTCATCGGCGAAGTCTTCTTCTTCCGATGTTATTTCTTTTGTAGGATACCTTTGCTCTAACGACTCTTGATCACCAACATCATCTTGAGACTGTGTGTCATTGTCTTTGCTTTCAGTGATCAGATCTTGTTCCTCCTGTTTGTTTGTATCTTCTTGGTCAACATCCACCTCCTGAAGGTCCTTCTGGTCATCCACAGTCTCTTGGTCCTCTGCAGATTGCTGCATGTTCTTTTCAATGCTGTCAGCTAACTGCTGTTGTTCCGAGTGCTGTTCCTGATCAGCTATGTCTTTCTTCTGTTCTGTCTCTTGAACATCTGGGGCAGGTGGCTGGAGTAAGTGTGCTTTATCTGTCTCAGCCGCAGTATCCAGCTGTTCAGGTGGCTGGAGTAAGTCTGCTTTATCTGTCTCAGCCGCAGTATCCAGCTGTTCAGCTGCATTATCCAGCTGTTCAGCTGCAGTATCCAGCTGTTCAGTTGCAGCATCCTGCTGTTCCTGCTTTATGCTGTCTGTATCTGACACAGTCTGTTTTGGGATTTTTTGTTGTAGCATTTCTCCCTGCTGTTCTTCTTTCAGAGATTTTTGCTGTGCCTGCTGTTGTTCCTGCTGGGGCTGCAGTTCTTGAACTTGTGGTGGCTGTTCTTGTAGAATCTGTTGCTGTGTCTGCTGTTCTTGATCCACTTGAGGTTGTTGTTCTTGCATAGTCTGTTGTTCCTGTTGCATTTGTATCACTTGTTGCTGCTGTGTCTGCTGCTGTCCAAGTTGTTGATACATTTGTACAACCTGTTGTTGTTGTTGCTGCTGCTGCTGTGGCTGCTGCTGTTGATATATCTGTCCACCTTGTTGCATGACTTGCTGTTGTATTTGCTGTTGTTGCTGACCCCATTGTTGTGTCTGCTGCTGCTGACCCTGTTGTGCTTGCTGCTGTTGCAGAATCTGCTGGGCTTGCTGCTGTTGTTGCTGCTGTAGTTGCTGCATTTCCCTTTGTTGTTGCTGTGCCTGTTGCATTTGCTGCTGTTGCTGCATTTGTCTTTGCTGTTGTCGGATCTGTTGCTGTTGTTGCAGTCTTTGCTGTTCCATCATCCGTTGTGCATGCTGTTGCTGTGCCTAGCCAACAGCAACATAGACAAAGAAAGTATTATGGTATGAATAGAAAAAAAATTGTAAAATTATCAATACACTGCAAAAGAACAAATTTTAAAATATAAGACAGATGACATTGAAGTAATTCAGAACTCAAGTTACAGGTTACAGTAGTGTGTATACTTGTGGATCAGACTGTTCTTGTTGAAGTGAATGTGTTGGTAGAGTTTCCTCTCCCGGCTGAACATAAACTTCTTCCTGTGTTTGGTGTACAGGTTGTGTTTGTTGTGCCTGTTGCTGTGTTGGTTGAGCTTGTAGCTGTATTTGTTGGACCAACTGTTGGTCCAGCTGCTGTGTTTGTTGGCCAGGTGGTGTTTGTTGGGTCTGTTGCTGTGTTTGTTGAATGGGTGGTGTTTTGTTGGCCCTGCTGCTGTATTTGCTGGCCCTGCTGCTGTCTTTGGTGAATGGGAGGTGTTTGCTGGCCCTGCTGCTGTGTTTGTTGAATGGGAGGTGTTTGCTGGCCCTGTTGCTGTGTTTGCTGGCCCTGTTGCTGTGTTTGTTGAATGGGAGGTGTTTGCTGGCCCTGTTGCTGTGTTTGTTGAATGGGAGGTGTTTGCTGGCCTTGCTGCTGTGTTTGTTGATGGGTGGTGTTTGTTGACCTGCTGCTGTGTTTGTTGTCCGCTGCTGTGTTTGTTGAATGGGTGGTGTTTGTTGGCCTTGCTGCTGTGTTTGTTGGCCCTGTTGCTGTGTTTGTTGAATGAGTGGTGTTTGTTGACCCTGCTGTTGTGTTTGTTGAATGGGTGGTGTTTGTTGACCCTGCGGCTGTGTTTGTTGAATGGGAGGTGTTTGCTGGCCCTGCTGCTGTGTTTGCTGACCCTGCTGCTGTGTTTGTTGAATGGGTGGTGTTTGTTGGCCTTGCTGCTGTGTTTGTTGGCCTTGCTGCTGTGTTTGTTGGCCCTGCTGCTGTGTTTGTTGGCCTTGCTGCTGTGTTTGTTGAATGGGTGGTGTTTGCTGGTCCTGCTGCTGTGTTTGTTGAATGGGAGGTGTTTGCTGGCCCTGTTGCTGTGTTTGCTGGCCCTGTTGCTGTATTTGCTGGCCCTGTTGCTGTGTTTGTTGAATGGGAGGTGTTTGCTGTCCCTGTTGCTGTATTTGTTGAATGGGTGGTGTTTGCTGGCCCTGTTGCTGTATTTGCTGGCCCTGCTGCTGTGTTTGTTGAATGGGAGGTGTTTGCTGGCCCTGTTGCTGTGTTTGTTGAATGGGAGGTGTTTGCTGGCCCTGCTGCTGTATTTGCTGAGCCTGTTGCTTTGTTTGTTGAATGGGAGGTGTTTGTTGGCCCTGTTGCTGTATTTGCTGGCCCTGTTGCTGGGTTTGTTGAATGTGTGATGTTTGTTGGCCCTGTTGCTGTATTTGCTGAGCCTGTTGCTTTGTTTGTTGAATGGGTGGTGTTTTCTGGCCCTGTTGCTGTGTTTGCTGGCCCTGTTGCTGTATTTGCTGGCCCTGCTGCTGTGTTTGTTGAATGGGTGGTGTTTGTTGGCCCTGTTGCTGTATTTGCTGAGCCTGTTGCTGTGTTTGTTGAATGGGTGGTGTTTGCTGGCCCTGTTGCTGTGTTTGTTGGCCCTGTTGCTGTATTTGCTGGCCCTGTTGCTGTATTTGCTGGCCCTGTTGCTGTATTTGCTGGCCCTGTTGCTGTATTTGTTGGGGCTGTTGTTGTGTTTGTTGAATAGGTGGTGTTTGTTGGGCCTGTTGTGTTTGCTGACCCTGTTGCTGTATTTGTTGGGGCTGTTGTTGTGTTTTTTGAATGGGTGGTGTTTGTTGGCCCTGTTGTTGTATTTGTTGGGACTGTTGTTGTGTTTGTTGAATAGGTGGTGTTTGTTGGGCCTGTCGTGTTTGCTGACCCTGTTGCTGTATTTGTTGGGGCTGTTGTTGTGTTTGTTGAATGGGTGGTGTTTGTTGGTCCTGTTTCTGTATTTGTTGGGGCTGTTGTTGTGTTTGTTGGCCCTGTTGCTGTATTTGTTGGGGCTGTTGTGTTTGTTGAATAGGTGGTGTTTGCTGGGCCTGCTGCTGTATTTGCTGGGCCTGCTGCTGTGTTTGCTGGGCCTGTTGTTGTGTTTGCTGTCCCCGTTGCTGTTTCTGCTGAACATTTTGCTGTATTTGCTGTGTTTGTTGAATGGGTGGTGTTTGTTGACCCTGCTGTTGTGTTTGTTGAATGGGAGGTGTTTGCTGGCCCTGTTGCTGTATTTGCTGGCCCTGCTGCTGTGTTTGTTGAATGGGAGGTGTTTGCTGGCCCTGTTGCTGTGTTTGTTGAATGGGAGGTGTTTGCTGGTCCTCTTGCTGTGTTTGATGTTCATGTTGCTGTGTTTGTTGGTCAGGAGGTGTTTGCTGGCCCTCCTGCTGTGTTTGTTGGGCCTGCTGCTGTGTTTGCTGACCCTGTTGTTGTTCTTGCTGTACCCTATGCAATGCCTGTTCCCTTTTCTTTCTTGTCTCTTCCATTTGCCTCTGCATGTCCATCTTTCTTTCCAACTTCTAATGGTGAAATGACAAGGACTGTTGTTATACGTGTACATAAAACCATCAATTTGGTACATTAATTTTGAACATATCAAGTAGACACTTAAAATTTGAACATATCAAGCAAGCATGTGGATTTTCTAAAAACTGTTAGGATTAAGATACTGGCAAGTGCAATTTGCTTTCAATGGCATTGGGGTGATTAAGAATTTTAGTTGTAACTAATTAGTAGGAAAACTTGAAAACTTAAACACTGCAGAATCCATGAACATTGTTATGTGAAATCTGTAGTACGGTAGTTGTACATGTACAAGGAAGACAGTGCCGTGAATTTGTGCTGGAAGGTCACAGCAAAAGTTAAACCACTGCAAAAGTGTCCGGCTTTACAGTACCCTAGCTTTCTCCTGTTCGGACAGCTGTCGGCCGCCCTGCCGGGGCATCCTGCCCTGCTGTTGCTGTACAGGCTGTCCTCTCTGCTGTAACGGCTGGCCCTGTCTGTTAAACCCTCTCATTGGTGGCTGCTGATGACCTCGGGCTAGAATGGCCAATGAATGAAGTGGTGTCATTGAGTAGCTTTGCCAAGCCAAATTTAATGTTTGCTCCACTTGACAAACTGAACAATCATTGATACTTGATTTTACTTGAAGCAAATGTAATTATTTATTGATAAATATATAAATCAAATCAAACTTTATTTGCAAATCTGTGCCAGAAGGCTAATTGCAAGGGAACACATTACACAGATGCAATAAATAATGCAGAAAAAGAAAGAAAAGTCTAGTCTATGATAGATGTACAATTGTATCTGATTTGTACAGATGTTTTCCACTTCTTCTTTGGAGTCAGTGGCTAGCGAAAAGTCCCTGGTAACTTATTAAACATTTGGGAAAGATTTTATAACCTACATTATACATTTTGTATTCCATACAAAGTCCCTGGGTTGTTACCTCCATGAAAAATGGAGGTATTGTTTTTGGCGGCGTCTGTCTGTGTGTCTGTGTGTGTGTGTGTGTGTGTGTGTGTCTGTGTGTGTGTCTGTGTGTGTTTCCGCTAACTTTGTAGTCAGCATAACTTCATAACG